TTGTTCTAAGGCTTATTTCCTCCCAGCCCAAAATAAGTGCTTATTCAAATAAACATTTATAGTTAAGCACTCCCAAACTAGGCCAGTACAAAAACAAAGCCTAATTTAATGGGTTAAACTCATCAAATTATTTCATCTTATTGACAATTTGTTCGAACAGCTCAAGTACAGCCACAAGCATTGGAGATTTTGCCTTGGATTGATGTCATCATTTGAGGCACTATATCACACAAGATTAGAATGTTGTGCCATCCCTCTCAATGTGAAAGCTTTGAAAATGTCTATATTAAGTGCATGAGAACGGTGAAGACATCTTTTTATTTTTTTGTGCAAACCATGCTCTTAAGAAAATCTAAGTAAGGAATTATTTGTTATTCTAAACTATGCCCCAACATACTTGAGTTTAAATATACGATCTTTACAATGTTAGGGAGACTATAGATTGGATGAATGTAAACTTGGGATTGAGGATTTCATCAAACAATGGTGACGATTACAAATGAGTTTACAAATTTGACATTCTGAATTTCATGATTTCTAAACACTGAGAGGGAAAGATAGAATGATGGGGAGATAAAGAAACAGAATAGGGTGGGAAAAGAAGCTGGTTGGTGTGGGGCGGGAGGGAGAGGTCACATTTTGGGTAAAGAAACTGGTCCCGATTCTTGATGGAGCGCGAGGCCAAGCTTGTGTACCATATTTGAGTAGCTTGACAGAATGTGGTTGGGAAGGCAGGGCACAGGCTTGCCTTGTTCACTCCATGCAGCTACATTATGGCTTGGAAACTGTTGATGTGGTCGACCGAGTTACTAGTTTTGTCATAAGTCTCTATGTTTGAGGTCTTGAAATCCTTGGGCCGAGGCTTGACAAGAATTTCGATCATGTTTGTTAGTGTATACCCTTTGCTCCAATTAGATTGATGTACATAAACCTTTATTAGTAAATGAATAAAGTACATTATCGTTTCATGTTCTTATAGATATGTTTTTTTTTTGTGAATTACT